TGTTTTACTCACGGCGTAATCAGACTGATTCAGATAGAAGCAGCTTGTGCCGATAGTTTCGATTTGATACAGATAGTTGTCTTTATTCGTATCTTTGGAAACTGTGAACACAGCGTGCGAGTTTTTGAAAATATGGGTAAAGACAAAAGCAACTTTTCTCGAGATTAAAGAGCTTTTTTTTTTAGGTGGGTGATATTGGCAGCAATAGGTGCTGTGAAATATGTTAAAACTTGTGTTATAGCACAAGTTTAAAAAATTTTCATGTCATGTATACATGTACTCTTGCGGAATACTTTCTTAGTGTCGTTATGATGGGTCGACTTCAACTGAGACAAAAAGTCGTTGGATTCGACAACATATTCAAGCCCCTTCGTAGCCATTTATGGAATTATATTTTCCATGTGTCTTGCAAATCGACTCTTGGGTACGACGGGTCGACTTCAAATAAGTCGTTCGATTCGATTTGACAACATATTCAACCCCCTTCGTAACCCCTTGTGGAATATTTTCTAAGTGTCTTACGAATCGACTTTTGGGTACAACGGGTCGACTTCAACTAAGACGAGTCGTTCGAGTCGATTCGACAACATATTCAACCCCCTTCGCAGCCATTTTAAGAATATTTTCTAAGTGTCTTGCAAATCGACTTTTGGATACGAAGAGTCGACTTCAACTAAGACTAGTTGTTCGACTCGATTCGAGTCGAGTAGAGTCGAGTCGAATCGAGTCGATTCGACAACACATTCAATCTCCTTCGTAGCCATTTGTGGAATATTTTCTAAGTGTCTTGCAAATCGACTTCTGGCATGACGGGTCGACAACAGCCAAGAAGCGTCGTTCGATTCGATTACGTCTTCAACCCCCTCCTTCGCCACCAGCGGAAATGTGTCTTTCACATCGACTTCCGGAACGCGTTTTCCATCTCCTGAGAGATGGTTTATTCAGACTTCCGGTACCACGAGACGACTCAACGGCGAATCTACTTCCGTTAGAGCGATTCGCAACTTTCTTTGGTGATTTGCAACGGTTTGGTTGTATTGGACAACCCTCATATGATATTATCTTTTTAGATCTTAATTTTACCAATTGTAGAGGTAAAAGAAGTATCTCACGTTACAAGATATAATACGAAATTACAATTAATCTTGCTTCTCTTCATAATGAACGTTTCTTTATCCTAAAACAGTGTGGCGGCTAAATTTACGTAAACCAAGTACAGCCTGCATGAATTGCTAACTTTTCAATATTATGCTCAGACGCATCCAGGTATTGTAATGCATGTATGGAGACTTTTGGGGAATAGGATAACGCTTAGAATCGGGGGTTTCCCTTAACGCCTTTGTCAAGCAAGATTATCAGTCGACATCATTGTTTATATCATTGTTCGACATCACTTGTCTATCGGGTAGACCAATGATGTCGATCTTGCTGACTATAAATGATATAACTGATCGCATGACTAATGGAGACAACTGCAAAGCTCATTTACACTCAGTAACATTGTAGCGTCGCGCTCTCTGAGCTTTCTGAATTTTCGTCTTCATATTCGATGAAAGTACCCGAGCATAGCGTTTAGCATGTTTATAGTTGCTAGAAAATCTAAGGCAATAAGCTTAGTAACCATTCCTATTCACTTTGCACCGTTGAGTCCAAGGGCTATCAAGATTGAATGCAAATTCTTGGAAAATACCAGAATGTTTGCCATCGAATGGTATTTTCTAGGCCGAATTGCTTTACAGGCAACTACAACAGAGTGCAAATTGATTTCATATTTCTTCAAACAGAGTGGCGAACAAGGCGTGCAGAATCAAAACGAGGCAATATCCAACATCAATATCCTCTCTCAATTAAAGCAAACGCCATAAAAATTAAAGGAAACTCGAACCATTTGCTCGAGTCAATTCATTTTTGATCCACAGAAGAGATTAATGTTCGAAATGAAGGGAAAGAGAACATCGGCGTTCATGCTTCTGATCCACGTTTGGACACCGAACGAAGCAAGATGGACGTAAAATGCAAATGTCTCCTTTAATTTGTCACCTGCGATAAAGTGAGCTGCTCCAATTTGCTGTGAAAAGTTTTATACACAAAGCGGTAGTTAAGAGGAATCTCCGCAAGGAGTTGTCACAAATGTGCCGTTTTAGGCTTTAGTCTCGAAATCTCGTCCCGAGATTTAAGTAAAACATATTGTGACCGGACGCGTTATTGTCGTTTCCTCATTTCTTGTTCGAATTTACGTCCTTTAATAAAGTGCTTTGTTAGCTTTATCGATAAAATCTTGGCAAACTTTCAATTGCTCTTAGAACTGGTCAGATTGCCTTGTATCTGCATTTGGGGAGGGTTCAAAGAAAGTAGCTTGCTATTTCAAAATAAATTTTTGCATAATGAGGCGAAAGATTTTTGGTAATCGTTTATCACAAACATTGGTATTCTCGTTCGGTAGAAACGGTTAGAATTGGAGAACGGCTTACAAACTATATTAAGATCACTTAACGAACAAACATGAAACCGTAAAGAAAACCCTCAATTTTTGTATCACGACAATTAAAATATTCATGGGCTTACTTGGAATGTGTTCGACACTGATCAACACATTCTGGAGCCGTTTTTTTCTGAAGGCTGAATAACGTCTCAATCAGAAGAAAACTCTGTAGACATCTTGAAAACATTGCTACGAGATTTGAAGATCGAAGAGCTTTGCAGTCAGTGAAATAGTTGACCACAAGTCGACTGTCGCGACCTACAGAGGCTGGGTAAATGTGGCATTGTTTTTGCCTCATTTATTACAAGTATTGCATTGAAGAAACGATAGACTTTGCTGAACCAAACATGATAAATTCCTAGCAGTTCAAACTTGATCAATATATAATTAACTGGCAGTTTAGTGTATCTTGCACACTTGCAGTAAATATGACCGCATTTAAACTTCTTGGTGCCGCGTATATTCAGTGGCGTCTTTTGATGAATATTTCTGCGATGCCTCTCCGACATTAACAAGGGTAGCTTTAGTTTGCATATTCAAAATTTCGCTCAAGTTGTAGAATCAGTCGAGTTGAATCGATGCCGGCAATGGTGGATCATTTCAAGTTAGCTTTCGATGATATATGTGCTTCCATATTTGTTATTGCGTATTAAAATCTCTTCAATTCTTGGAAACACTTTCTACATTTACATTTAATAAAGCTTTTACATCCATCCGCTTTGTTCCGCGAACGATAGTACACACGGTTTTCATGGTTACAGTTTAGGCGAACATGTCTTTACGCTAACTTGTGACTTCTGTCAAAAGTTCTTTGATTGTCGCTCTTGTGTTTGATTTTCAAGGTCAAACAAAAGAAATGATTGAAACATTTTTGCTTAAAGCTTCTATAAAGTCAATACTATCTTCCATTCACTGAAGCGTTTCAATTCTTTGCAAAGATTGCCCGCCTCGATTAGCACTACTATCTGCGGAGCCAGGGGAATAAGGATTTATTGTTATTGTTATTGTTAAATAAACGTGTTAAACGTGGAAACAGAGAATAAACAAACTTGAAGGGAAATATTTTAAGATCTCTTACGTCACAGTGGGACTCTGTGGCTGCTCAGGTCTCAAGTCATTGCTATATATGCATATTTCATTGGTGATAATTCTTGCAACATCGGCATCAGACTTTGTAAAAGGTGTTCCATTATGAGGTAAGTACATGCAAGATCCAGCTTCTTTATCCAAGACAGGCTTAATATCTTTCCCGATGCTACTCTCAAACATTTCTCGCCTTTGTTGTTGGTTTTGCTCGTCGTAGACTGAAATCTAGCCTGGCTAGCTGCTGGTATTTTTCAGGTGTGGAATTTATAATTCTATCCTATTAATTTATCTCAGCCTTTAGCTTATGGCGCAAAATTTGAAACAACTCGGTCATCTGAAAAGCTTTTATTAGCAATCAGGAAACATAGATTAACATGATTTAGTGCCAACCACGATACCCTAGTTTTTTGGTCTAGTTTGACTGATCTATCTGATTAGCCATAACCCGTCTGGCATATCGTAACAACGGAATTGTTAATTTTCTGTGCGACAGACTGTATGCGGTCTTTTTGGTGGAAAAATCATTCATTGTTTACATTACAATCCATATAATGAAAAATGACGGATCTTCCAAAATGGATTTAGGATACACAAAAAGGGAAATGTGAACTGTAATGCTACATAAAAGAATTTCAAAATACATACACTAGTTACGAGGACGAGAATGAGCCAACTTGAGTTCCGCAGTTTTATCTTTCAGAGATACTTCTTACTCTGGAGTCAGGGTGCTCTATAATTCCTTAACATACTTCTATTTTTTTAACACACGTAAGTTTGGAGCTTATCAAATATGCACCATAGTTACGTTTACGAACTGGTGATTACATGAAAGCTCTAAATTCTCAATTTATCTGCTATCTGACTTGTAAGCTGGGTCAGTCAGAAGCGAAAGAGCCACCATGACCCACCACCTCGCCTAGGAAATTACGTGCTGATTGATGCCGATGCAAACAAAGCTTTCAAAAATAATAAAGATAATAGAAAGCAAAATAACATTAATTAAAAGTATAAAAAATCCGAGCACTTGCTTATTATAGGCATTGAATTATTGGCATGTAGTTCTGCGATTGCCAATATGGCTTAGTTTTCCATAAAGGTAACCGAAATCACACTTATACCATAGTGTGTCTACAAAGTTAGCACTTTTGGTTGCGGAACTCTCAAACTCAGCGTATTATTCCTGAATTCAACACAAGGAACACATATGTGTGCACCATCCTAGTCCTCTCAGCTAACAAGCTAACTGGGAGCAGGTCATCAAATTAGTCCGACATGAACCCGTAAGATGATAAATCAAACCATAGTTAATCGAGGGGACAGGTTAGAAAGGCCGGCAAACTTCAAAGGACGAGGTTATTGCTTAACTTTCGAGGTCGAGACTGCCTCTCACGTGACATACACCGTGCATTCAATCCAGCAGCATTCCAAGCAACATGGCGGAAGATAGCGATCTTTTCTTGTTTGGAGATGATTTAGACGGGGTTGTTGAGGCTTTAGAGGCCAGTGATCTCATTGATGAAAGCTTTAATGAAGCTGTTAGTGAGGTAAGGCAAATTATTCCAGAATTTTACGTATTACGTAGCTTATTTTACTAATTTTTGCGACTATTCGGTCGAAAGTTTTCAAAAGCTTGTTGCTGCTATCAAAAACTCGATTTTTCGTATCTGTGGTAGTTTGCCTGGTCGAACTCTTGCTAAAACACATACAATTGATAACTTTGATTATTTAAAACAACTTTTTTTTATAGTTTATAAACTTTTATGATTGTTTGTTGGCGTTCTGATCGTGTATTTTGCTGTTGTTGTTTTTAGGTACAAGAGGACGAGCTCTTGTGCACGCTCTGCTCGAAGGAATGTAAAAGTTTACGCGGATTGAAGAAACACATGACCTGTATACATAAGGATGATCTGGAAGATAGAGAAACAGAGCGTATTGAAGAAGAGCAATGTAAACTTACAGCAGATTTACTTGCAAAGATGGTCGACGAAGTGAAACATCGTGTAATCAACAGCAAGGTCTTCTCAAAGACCATTAGAGAAGAGCTGAGTGCTTACTCGTTCACCAACTTAACTGAAGAATCAGTAGAATTCATAGAATTGGGAAAGATCTACCAACTGCTGACGAAAAAGAAAAACTATGAACAGTTCTATACTAAGTTTTATTCTACTGTGCCTTTGAACTCAACAAGATATTTCACTGGACTATCTAGAAATTCTGCTACTTTGCTATCAACTAAACTCGCAGATATTATGCTAGCCTACAGCAAGAACAAGGAAGTTACTACTCTTAGGAACTTAAAGTATGAACTAACTGAAAAGGAGATGGCAGGATTACCGTATGGTTGGGGATATGTGCTACACAAGTTACACAACAAACACAGTAAATCAAATCTCTGTGAATCCAAAGCTAGTCAGCAGTCAAACGCTCTACTGAAAGCTGGCAAAGAGGATAACCAAACAATGCAAGAAAATCTGAAGCTTACCTCAACGCTTAACCGTGGTGGACTGTGGAGCATCACAAAACGAGCTCAAACAATTTTTATGAGAACTGAAAAATACTTCAGATACTTTACAACTGATTATCCCTTAACAAGAATTGACATAAATGCAATGAGAGAATTCAGCATGTGATTCTGAAGTGCTTACAGCTTTCAACTGCATGAAGGAAGTTTCAGAACTGAAACCAGAAGACAAGATAGCGAAAGATGCTCTTCATAATATAATTCTTTTGTATGTTAGAGTCTGGTGTTTATCATTTGCAAAAGATGTTGTACAGAAATACAAACTGCAGGCAAAGCTGGTAAAGGAAAAGGCACTCCGAAAGCAAATTAGCAGAGCAACCAATAGGTCTGAGCTTAAGGATAATTAGAGTTTTGATACCTTATATTTTTCCTTCTATGTACCAGTAAAATCACAAAGCTAGGGTCTGTTGCATAACAGTGCAATTACAAAAAATTGTTAATGTTTATTGAATTTTCAATCAGTTAACGTTATCATTTTGATGCAGCCGAAGTAATTATATATGTTAGGGGCCTTAACTTTTGCAAATAGCTGTAAATGTAATGTCAACAATAATTTATATAAATGCGATAAGTGACCAGTAGACTCTTAGTAAATTATTGTAAAAGTAAATTATTGTTAGAGTTGTTTTCTTATTAACACACAAAATGGTCATGGTGCATTGAGAGATTGCATAAGCATAACAAAAGCATAACAACAATTGTTCGTCCAGTGCTATCTATCTCTCAGTGTGCTAATATCATGAATAGAAGGAGTGATCTGGTAAATAGCCTCTTAGAGCACTGGTCATGTAAATAGTTTAATAAATAGTAAACAATGCAATTACAGATTCTTAAGAATCTGTAATTGCATTGTTTACTATTTATTTAACTATTTTTAAAATTTCTATTTTATCTAATGAACTATTCTTAAAAAAAATACTGCTATGACTTAAATGAATTGAAAGTTAATATTTACATAATATATACATAGAGGCAATGAATTCTAATGTCCACAGTCTAAAATATTGTGAACTATTTAATCTATGGCTGTTAAGCAAAAGAAAATATCCAAGCATTTGAAGCAATGCATTTGAAACATTTTTTTTTAAATAACGAAGATTTAGAACTGATAATTTTGACCTTTCTTCAATGAAGGAAATATGTTCAAAAATTACCTATTTACAAAATTGTTTTCTACCCAGTTCTAGTTATTATAATTACAGTTTATTTTTTTCCTCTTTGGTAGCAGATCATCAGTAACTTCCACCCAAGCTTTCTTCCTGTCTTTTCTGCCTCTGGTGTTCACAGACTGACCTGAAACACTTCTTTGGATGCGAATTGTGTTGTCATTACAACCAAACATCTTTATGTCTGGGTTGTCGCTTCGCCGTCCGATCTTTCGTTGGCTACCAAAGTATTCCTCAATGGGATCCTGACAGAATCTTTCTGTAAGCACATACTCCATACCTTCCTGGAGGAGGAAGTTGGTAGCTTCAATAACTGAGCAGGTTGTTATTTGAAACCCCTCGTATGTCTGCCATGACAAAAACATACGACTTCTAGCATTAGCTGTGTAGTTACCAGGTCTGTCAAGTGTGCTCTTCTTCCAATCTTTCAGATATTTGAGAAATTCTCCTTCAAGCCAAGTGAATCTTGGATCTTCAGTGGAGGTGAAAGGGGCTAAAAATGGTTTTCTCTTTCTTTCATGCTCATATGTACAACGTACATTCAAGCAATCAAAGAAAGAATCAACCATTCCACACAACTTTGCTGTTCCTGCAGTATCAGGTGTACCAAATGCCTTTAAAACAGCTGACACAGATGCACTCAAAACCTGCGCTGCCAAATTAACACACATAGTAGAGTATGCATTCAGCTTGATGTGGTCTGCAGTAATTTGTGGTAAAAGCTTCAGGCCACTTTCTAAATCCTGAAAGAACATCTGCACTATATGTTGCCAAAGCACATAGTGCCCACCATCCCACATGTACCTGCAATAACAATACAATAAGTATTTATAATATGACTGTGACATTATTAAAACCTACAGTGATGGACTATGTTTAAAAAAAAATCAATAAAGTAGACCCTGGAGGTGCTCTGAACAAAAGTAAAGTTAATTAGATGACTTGGAATACAATTTGGATCTATTTTACATGAGCTTGTTATTTCATATGGCCACTATTGTACAAGCCAATATGAAAAACAAATGGGTGCAAATAAATTGCAAATTGAACAAGAGATTAATACATATTATTAAAAACTAGATCATTGGATAATGCAATTCAAGACTTTTCATTGGCTCAGCCATTATGGTGTATCAGCCAATAACCATAATCTACAAATATGGTAAGCGTACGTGCCAGCTTAAAATTAAAAGGGAGCTTAAAGATTGAAAGATTTTTCTAATATCATGGGGGCATTTTGAATGAAACAATCATTCCACACATGCTTGTTGGATATGAGATGATTATAGCCAACTCGGCACTACTCGCCTCATTGGCTATCTATCATCTCATATCCAACGCGTGCTCATGGAATATTTGTTAATTATCCATGTAATAATAATTCAATCATGTATCTTTTGATAGTTTAAAGTGTCAATTCATTACCAGTTGTTGCAACAAAAAAACACGATTGTGCATTGTTACATTTAATGTGTATTGCTATTAGTCAATCAGAATCAAGAACTTTTCATGAAGATAATAGATAATATTTATTACTACATTCTAACAGACAGCTACTTGCAAAAATTACAGCCACCAACCAGGCCACCAACATACACTGCAGACAAATATATCATTATAGGACAACTGAAACTTCAAAATTAAGCACTGTTGTAGCTACTTTTTGGTGTGAAATGATAGTAAAGACCTAGATCTGCAGATTTACTTAAAGATTGTTCTATTATGACTTGTATCTTGTGAGTTAAAGACAAAAATAGCCGGAAATTACCCATCATGCAACTGATATATATTGACATGTATACGTTAGTAACTGAAATTCTTGCGAAAAAGCTGTATATTATAAGAATAAGCAATATTAGTGATATTATTGTAGTGAACATACATGTACCTGGTACATGATCCAGACCCAGAGTGATAAAGGCAGTTCCTTGTGGTCTTTATCAGATGTGGAGTATCAGAGAAAAAGTATATAAATCTATGAGGAGCATAGAAATTGATGGTGCGGTAGCATACTTCTTTTCCCGAGTCTCTATCTAAGGCTTTGTGCATGCGGTAGAAGCTACGATTTGGGGATGCTCCATCTGAAGTAACTGCCATGAACCACAGGTTACAGCTTGATTCAAGAATGCATACAGCTTCCCAAAAGATTGGTAACAATTGGATGGATGTAATTGCACTTGTTGCAAAATAGACCAGGCTGAACTTGAGCTGAGTGCAGACTCCCCTGATTAAGAATACCAAGGCATGAGTAGTAATCTCATCAGCTTTCTCAAGTGTGGCAAAGTTAACATCAGGGTCACCCAAGTCAACAAAGCCTATCAGCTCACCAGTAACCTTGTCAAAAACAAGATATGACAAGATTTTCATTTTATCAAAAAGTAATACCACATATCCTTGTACATCGAAGTATAAAGTGGTAATACTTTTCAGTTCTTCAATTACACCTTCTTGGAATCCTCTCTGGGGTCTGATGTAGTTCCTGTAGTCTCGTAGCGTTCTTTGGCAAGGGAGGAAAAGGATACCACTATTGCATAGCTCTTCATACAGTGATGGTAACTTTGCTACAAGTGAGAGGCATTAGCGGATAACCATGGGGTGATACCGCACCCCAGTAGAATTACTTGCAAACAATTTTTGCTGTTGCTGCCAAAACAAGTTCATGAATGGTGAAATGTTATGCTTGGTCTTGCCCATAATACTGATGAAGTCTTTAGTAAGTTCCTCATTGATTTTCACACTGGACTTGTTTAATTCCTCTCTCATTAATTTAAGCTGGTTTTCAAGCTGATTGAACCTCCTTTGTTGCATCAGAAGTGTCAATTTTAATCTCTATGGTGGTGTTTGTGACACTGGAGAGTTAATATAAGCAGGTTCTCTCAGCTTTTTTGCTTTCACATTTTGGATTTTGCCTCCGCTTGTAGAAATTTACTGCAGCATGCACACCGATCGAGTCCACTACATAGAACTTCACAGTCTTTGACACGCCAGTATTCTTCATGTGGGAATGAATTTACAGTATCTTCATGAGTCAAATGATCTACTGACTTGGGTATGACATGGTGAACTACATTTGCTGAGATTGTAGCATCTACCCCAGGGCAAACTACATGTGATTCAATGTCCTTCATCAGATTTGCCACTGAAGTATTGGTGACAGACCTCAAGTGTTTCGTATAAAAGATCATGGTCATCTGGGAGATAAAATCCATATACCTTAATAGTAAAACCCAAGCTGTCGTCGATGACAACTTCGAGTTCTGGCACCAACAGAAACTCTTTGAACTTTTTTATTTCTACCCTGTCCTCCAGAAAATTGGGATCACATTTTGTTCCTGGGCAACCGAGCCCGATATGCATTTGTCGTACTCGATTACCATTCCTGCTCGATAAGCAAACCACGTTTCATAATCGAGCTCGATAACTACAAGTCGAGTACGATTACTAATCGAGTACGATTACTAATCGAGTACGATTACTAATCGTACTCGATAACTTATCGAGCTTGATAACTTATCGAGCTCGATAACTAATCGAGCTCGACAAAGCTCGTTTATCG